TGTTCGGCTCAACCGCCGTTGGGATCACAGCCCCCGAGGTGGCGTCCAACCGCCCATCCTTGATCGGCGCGGTTGGCTCCGAACTAAGGGTCGGAGCCAATGCGGGTGTGGCCTCCAGGGCACTGTTCGGTGGCAGAGCTAGATCATGCTCGTCATGACAGTGCGGCGCGCTCGGCGGTGGTTCGAGTCCTTCGAAGATCAAGTCCCCGCGGATATCAGACGTGTAGTTTAAATTTCCGAATCTGACCTGACGGCCAGGGGCGTAGCTTTTGATCTGCTCTAGATGGCCAAGTGAATTGGCCCGCAGTGCGAAGCCGCCAAAGACGAAGATCTGTCCGGGGAGGAAGGTCTCATCCTGGACTGCATCACCATTGATGATCGTAGGAGCCATCGGGCCTGACGGCGACGGCACAGAGGAGCTCTCAATGAAAGCACCAATGTCGGTGTCAAAATCGGCGGATCTCGGGTAGGGGGTCCTGAACTGTGCGTCTAGGCCGGATGGTAACAGGAGGCAAGGGACACGAAGTTTTACCCAGGTTCGGGCCCTCTCGATGGAGGTAAAACCCTACGTCCTGCTTGATTAATATTGATGATATGGGTAGTACAAGAGTAGATCTACCACGAGATCAGAGAGGCTAAACCCTAGAAGCTAGCCTATGGTATGATTGTTGATGTGTATGTTGTCCTACGGACTAAAACCATCCGGTTTATATAGACATCGGAGAGGGTTAGGGTTACATAGAGTCGGTTACAATGGTAGGAGATCTGAACATCCGTATCGCCAAGCTTGCCCTCCACGCCAAGGAAAGTCCCTTCCGGACACGAGACGGAGTCTTCAATCTTGTATCTTCATAGTCTAGGAGTCCGGCTGAAGGTATAGTTCGGCTATCCGAACACCCCCTAATTCAGGACTCCCTCAACAGGAGAAATGGGAAAATGAGTTAAAAGAGCACCTAAAGAGTTTTAGATAGTTTTGAAAGTGTTTCAGAAGTGTTCGTGAATATCTAAGGATGTAGGTGGAATCAGTGGCAGTAGATATATGTGTCTAAAACGTGTTTGAAAAAGTTATAATAATTGAAACTTTATATTTTGATGGTTCATTGGCAAGTTACTAGTAATGAAACTTAAACTTGACGTGATACATGTTTTTATTTATTTTTACTTTAACTTCGTAATTAGTCATGTTAAAAGAATTGTGATGCCCCAGTGTTGAGTAATCTAATAGTAGTTGAGTGCCATTGATCATGTTTATATCTTTTACTTTGTGTTGTTGTACTCATCGTTTGTGCCCACAATTATATTACTTGAATCTGCTGCCGAGGTATTGTTTGAGATTGGTTGTCTATAATGCAAGGTTATGATCTGAATAGTATAGTGTGAAGAAAACATTGGCTATACATTTATTTGTGTAGAAAGAGTTAATTTAGTTATTAGGTCAGGAATTAAATCATATAAAAGTGAATTGCCTATAAAACTTAGTGAAGCCTGACTACGTTGTTAATTTGATATATTTATAAATTAAAGAGCATACATATTAAAATTAAGAGAAAGGTGAGATGTAATTATACTCACTGAAGGTTAAAATTATTGTCGTATTTTTTTGTGAAAGCCCAAAAAACCGTAAAACCTAAACGCTAACAATGAAAATTGACTTAGATGTGAAAGTTTTGAACAAATAATTGTATCGTTTAGAAGAATGTAGAACAATGATTGCGTACAACAATTTGCCAAGTGGATCGAGGATAAACTAGTTGCCACCTTGGAGGCCGAGTTCCTGTCTGGCGTGATCCACCATTACAACATGCCCCAAAAGGATAAACGTCACGTGAAATTCAAAAAAGTGTGATATGGCATAGTCCTTTTTGTTGAAGAAATTTGCATTGTCGTTGTGTAGTCTTTGCAAAACAATCTGGTGTGGGAGCCATTTTCCGCCATCGTGGCAGCAGAATACGTTGTTGTGGGACATCTACATGCTGGCCAAGCTCAAATCCTCTGCACTTTTTGAGGATATATGATGTGTTTTTAACAATGTTAATGATGTTGAGACTTGACACTTGTGAAGTGTGACCCCTAAACCTTGTTTGCAAGCGTGGAGTTATTTTTTACTCACTCTGACCATGTTTTTTTACCTTGTTGCCAATATTTATTCATAAAACTATCAATATATTACCCAAATTATAATTTTTTTTGCCAAACTACTGCAACTATACAATTAACAACTATATTAGGTGTGTTGGGACACAAGAGACTACTTGTATTCTGATTGTACAACATTTTGAAAGAGAACACTTTTAACTTACGTTTGCCGCAGATTAATAAACCTTAGGCCACCCACTTAAGGGGAATTCCTATTGTCCTATAATCATATGTGCTCGGAGGTCTAATAGAGTCTACAAGAGTATAAGTGCGTAGTAGACATCACCGACCGAGGTAGAAATTTTGCTGGTATTTTCTTAGTTACCTTTAATAATATGTGTATTAGTTCCAGTTGGCTAGATACCAAAGGCGAAACCGAATGAGTGTTATGTTAGAAAACTGCTTGAAAATCCGATTTCGTACTGATGTGTAATGATGGTTTATCATTTAATTCAATGCTATTTTATTACTAAGTGCAAAGCAAACACCCATCGTCAACTGCTTATTTAACCAACTAGAACAAGTAGGGCACATTAACCAGCATGAAAACAACATCACAACATTAGATTATAGGGTCCTCATATAAACCTTATATGCTCCATACTTTTCTATTTGCTTGTATCTAATCATACACTAGAAACCGCCATGATGATATTTATTAAACCACACTATTTACATACCTATGTTGAGCTTTTTAAGAATATTAAATATACGCAAACATATGTAGACTATAAATTCACGCAACTATGAAAAAAATATGTAAAGACAGGCAACTCATTTCCTTTTTCTCACATTGAAAGAAATTGCGTTTAATATTTTAAGGGCATCATCTAAAAAGGGAAATAAATTATTTTCATTACAAAATATAATTGATTTTAGCATAGTGTGTGTAGTTGTCAATGATAGACATTAGAACTATATAAGAATGTTATAATCAACATTTAACAATATTTTTATGTTCTTAATAAATAAGTTATATCACAAATTTTGTACTTAAAAAATGATAATGAAGTATAATAATTTAGTATAAATATTATTTTATTTAACGATGACAAATTAAAAAAATGAAATATTAATACTAATGAATAGTGTTGTACGATTTTTTTTCAAATAAGAAGGCTATCGTAGCAATTTTATTTTATATGAAGTAAAAAAGACACCCCTTAATTCAAAGCTTTTGGGTTGTAAGAAACATAACAGAAATTAACAGGCGCCTTACTTAGTAGATTTAGTGTTAGTCAATTTTCTTAATCATCATGTGACAGAAATAAAATTTATTATTTTTAATTGAATAAAATACATATATAAGTTTTTTTAACTTTATTTATGTTATTTTTCTTCTGCTTAAATATATTGTCGGACGCTCGAACTAGATCTCGTCTTCTTCTCTGGTGCGCCAAAAAGATAAATTGCTCTAAATTGCTTCAATTATATATGTATCGATTGATTTTCTCGAAAAGTGTTTGGTCCCGCATATCAATGAGGAAAATAAGGTTTTTCTCGTTCTTGAAGGATAATTTTTAATAAAAAGGGTGAACACCGAAAACCCTTTGGAAAACCAAATAAATACTTATGTGAAAGTATGAAAATATTGAGATACCATGATGGTTTCTTAAAAAAATACATGTTTTAAATACGTCTGTTTTTTCTTTTGTAAATGTTAACAAGACATCCGTAGCAAGGGTAAGCCTAGCAGTACAGTCCTAGCCCTCCGTTAGTCAGCTTGCATTAACTGCCCCGTCCTCTCCCCTCTCCCCTCTGATCACTGACCACCATGCCCTCACCCCTCCCTGCCACCCCCGCCTTCCCACCATTGACCCGAGCAAACAACCCCCAGCAGCCAGCACCAACGGCGACGGCCACGCCGAGATCACGCCGCACATCTCCACTGCGCCGTGCCACTCACGCTCACCGGTCACTGCTGGTGTTGCGCCCCAGCACGCCCGATTCGATATTCGCATTCCCTCCACCACCTCCCTCC